CACATGCCGGGGGCAGCGCGGGGGGGCCCGGGGCCGCACACGCCGGGGCTGACCCCGCCGCTCATCCCTCCTGCGGCAGCGCCCGGCGAGCCGCGTTACCGGGGCTGCTGCGGGGATGCGCTGCCTGCATGAGGAGCTGTAGGCGGATAGCGGCTCCGGAAAGCCGAGTCCAGCCCAGCACTTCGGCTGAAAGGGAGGGACTGCCTGGAGTAAACGCACGGGGATGGACAGGATTATCCGGCAGTGCGGAGGATAGAATTCCGTGGGGCTGGATGGGGGCTAGGAGGAGGATGTAGTCACGTAGTCCAAGGGAGAGCTAAACCCACTTTACAGTGGTAGGAGCTACTTGTTACCAGGGATCCTGGGGATGTTTCTCACTGTGCTTGATCAGTGCTCTAATGCTGGATACAGAGGGAACAGGGCTGCAGCAGGCACTGAACAGTGTGAGCTTTCATAACTGCTTGTTTACCTCTCAGAAAAGCATCATTCGCTTTATAGGTAAAGAATGAATGAAATCAGGCCCCTTTTCTGAATGTCCTGTCAGCAGTTAGGGGTTTTCAGTGATCCAAGTTCCACTGGCAGTTTCTGTCACCCACACACTCCCAGCTCTGCAGCGTGGTCCCAACTGATGCTCTTTGTAGGGACGTGGAGCTGGAGCTGCAGGGGTGTGCGGGCTTCTTCACTTCCCTGCAAGTTCTCTCTATCAGAACAGCTTTGCCATCAGATTTTAGGCCGTTCAGCTTCTCCTTGGTTTAGCAAGTGAGTGCTAAACCAAGTGCTAAACTTAGTGATGGATGCAGGGCTGTAATGAAGTTTGGGGTCAATGTAAAGCATGCAAACTCCCTGGTAAAAGGTTTCCTGCTGTCACTGATCACCTTTATTTTTTAATTTTCTTTTCTTTTTAAATCCAGTGAGTATTAAGGGAGTCTGAGGCAATTGAAATGAAGGTTTATGGGAATTTTCAGGTGTGTTTCTTTATGGCTTAGAGAAACCTTTTGTTGCCAAAACTTTAGTACCTTGGTACTCTAAAATCCCTTAGAGTGCTATTACAGAAGTTACCTTGTAATAAATTTCTTCAACCCCTCAGAACGTATGACTCCTTGAAAGACTCCTTGTTTATAATTTCAATAATTTTTATTCCATTAAAGGCTTCCTTTTAGGGGTCTTCTTTGTTTGGTTATGGCGTGAAGGTGTGAACCTGTACATGCATCAGAAAATCTGATTTTCTGTGTGTTGGGTTTTGGATATGTGTCCCTTGGCCTCATTCTGCCTGTAAAGAATCATATACGTGTGTAACGCTGCACTTGAGGATATCAAAATAATTTCTCCACTTTAAAGTTCAGAAATTCCTAATGTTTAGTACTTCTGCAAATTTTGGTGATGTCATCTTTGTTCAATGGCACCTCACATTTACTCACAGTATCAGTGTAAAGTTTAGTCCTGACAGACTTGGGGTCTTAAATTTGACTGAAATATCCATGCTCAGACAATTAAATAAGCTCACAAATCATGGAAAGTGCCTTAGTAACTGACTTTGGAAGCAGGGGAATTGCTCAGTGTTTGCAGTTCTGAAGAAATCTCTCTCTCAGCTTGGTTCTAGAGCCCTTTCTGTGAGAGTCTTGTCCTTTTGCTGCAGTAGGAGTTGCAGCTGCTTCTGAGGCAGAGGACATTTGTTTCTGGGTCAGACAACAGAGTTCCCATCAGAGCCTGCAGAAGCATCCCCACAGGTCACAGGAACCCCGGGGTTCAGTACTCGCTGTGCCCAGCTGCAATGGGCTGGGATGGTGTGGGCTTTGCTCAGCCCACTGATTTCCAAAGCTGCACTGCATGCATGTGGAGATGGGCTAGTTTTTTACCCTTTTTCCTGCGTGTTTTTCAGCTTTTAGACTTTCCTGTTTCGCTCCTTCAGCTGTGAAGCTGAGTGGAACCTGGCTGTGGAGTGGGACTTGGGCCAGACCTGTATTTGCACACCCAGGGCAGCAGTGCTGTGTTGTGTCATGGTGATACTGTGAGTAGTTTACATCCTTAGTTGTTCTCGTAGCATCTGCTTTTCTGTCTTGTTAAAATGGATTTCTATTAAAGAAAATTCACCACAAATAAATGATTTAACACACAAGAGTTTGCTTATGGATGGTATTTGGGAGAGAGCTGGAACAAAGATAAAAAGCTATTCAGTATTCCTGCTGCTCTTATCTATTAACTTTGGGTTAGTTTGTCCTTGGGGCATCACAGAGCAGGGGAGACCAAGGCAGTGCCTGTGTGAACCTGAGTGGTTCCAGTCTGAATTCTGCTAGCTTCTCATTTTTTTCCAATCTACAGAAACGGGAAGTTTCTGTAGATTGACTGTGGGCTTCCAGTGACTGACTGGGAGCCCAAGCACATTTAGGTAAAGTTTGGAATGGTATTCCCTGTGGGTGGAGCTGCACAGAGTTGCTGTCCACAGTGGCTGTTGCCCAATTTACTGATAAGTAGAAAAACCAGTGAGGAACTCTTGGTGAAGACAAATAATTCTATTCTTGGATGATTTTATATTTTCTTCAGTCCAGGGACTTCATTATAAAGCTGCCATCAGTGCAGTGACAGACCTCAGCTCAGCTTCCAATCTCCTGGGGTTTGCTTTGGGATCCTTGGAGCTGAGTGGAAGCTGCAGTCTGGTAGCCAATTTTGTAAGGCAAAATACATTTTCTTGCTATAATGAGATCACTTTTGACTGAGAATTTTTATGTATTCATAGTGAGTCGTTTGGGGGATACTGTTCACCATGTATTGCTTCTTGGAAAAGGTGGTAATGAAATAAATGTCAGTTGGATTATACAATTAGTTGTAGATAAAATACCTCAGGATGAGCAAAATCGATTGTGGGAACAGGAAAGTCCTTTCTCATCGGGCTGGCTCATCCTGCCCCGTGCTGAGCTTTCCCAGTGCTCTGGCACTGCTGGGAAAGCTCAAAACACCAGGCCCTGGGCTCAGGGAATTCCTTGCTGGAGTCTCCACGGTGTGGTGGTGCCAGCTGAGTAAAACTGTGCCTGCTGCTGAGAGCAAAAGAGGTCAGGAAAAGAGGCTCTGGAGGTTAATAGGAAGCATCTCGTGCTTTCACAGCTCCCTGGGTTCTGAAATGTAATAAAAAGAGTGCTTTGAAGGAAAAGTTTTCAAATTTTCTGAAAAAACTCAAACAGATGTTTGTCAGGTTTAAAATATTTTGAGTTTGGACTTACTGTAGAATTGCTAACAAAGGAATTTTCTCCATGCTGAAAGCTATTTTAATGAAAAAGGTGGAATTTTAAATATATACATTTACCATAGAACATTTTTCAGCTGGAATTTATAGGACAGGTAAACTTATTTTGAATAATATTTTCTAGAGTCTTAAATCAAGTATTTTTGTTCTTTAGCCTAAAATCTGTCAAGAGGAAAAATAATTTTAAATTATTAATACAGATGAAGCATATCAGTAGCAAATATTTCACAGCAGCCTGAAGACCCAAAGGCAGAAGTCTGTCCTTTTACCTGTCATGTAAAGGAATGAGATATGGAATGAAGAGTCCCTCTTTCTATAACTGCCATAGCAGGAAAGGATTCTGTAGGAATTTTATGTCATGCCCAAATTCTCAGAGGCTATTTTTCTGATTTTTAGCTTGCCAACTGTCTTATTCTCTTGAACAAAAGGTGCTCTTGGGCTCTGGGGCCGGATTTAGTTTTTTATTTATTCACCTGCTTGCAAACCTTTGAGGAAGATGGTGAGTTATTCTGTCAATGCCTGCTGCATATATATATATATATATATATATATATATATATATATTAATATCTGTATATATGCTAAGAAATAATTTGGTCCAAAATTGTTATTGAAAATCCAATATTTCCCCTAAATGCATTCAATCTTCCTGATGCCAATTTTTAAGGATGTAAAATGGAAAATTTCATCTCCATGTTCTTTCCCCTCTTATTCACTGACTCCTTAATTAAATTTATAGCTAATTATGCAATTTATTTTGTGTTGACCTTTCAAAGACCTTAGAGCAGATTCTGAATGTAAAGTCTCAGTGTTTATTTCCATGGGTCCTTGAGTGAATTTGTTACAAAGGCTAGTGGCACTTTTGGAATTAATGATGGTCAATGGATTACTAACAAATAGTAACATATGTGTCCCTGGAGATACAGAACTATAAATATACTGAAATATATAGAAGGAAATTCTGAATTATGTCATACACAGCATTTAAAATTCGGTAACGCCACTAGGAATAACAGTAAGTCTGCATGTCAGAATAGTTAAAAACAGCTTTTATGTTGCAGGTCCCATCTTATATGGGTGTTGTCTATGTATCTTTGATATGGGTGTTGCACTTGGTGCTGGAAATCCTGTGTTTGGATGATCAGATCCACCTGTATCCCATGAAACATGGATATGCCTGTTCCTAAGGTGAGGGGTATCCATGGCTCTGTGGGAACCAGGCTTAAAATCTGTTTTTTTTGTGCAGTCCATGTCCTGTATTGGCAGAGCTCGGTGTGTATATCAGATGTCACTGGAAGGAGCAAAGAAAAGGAAAATGAAGGGAAGCTCCACACTGCAGAGTAGTTTATTTAACAGATTGCCGGTCAGTTTAACCTTTGTAGAGGTTAGAAGTTTTATGATTTAGTTCTTACTTTTTACACTGAAGTAAAGTATTCATCATTTACTCTCAGGAAGGTTTTTAAAAGAGGCTTTTGATAGAGGGCAGAGAGGGCAGCTCTGCAGTCCTGTTAGTGCAGGCAAGAATGAGAATCCAGCCTTGCCTTTGTTCACCTAAACCAAAAGTACAAATGAGGAAAAGGCAGCATGGCAGCAGTCCAAAACGTAATTGTGACCCAACATTGATTTTATCTCTCTGACACCATTGTGTACTAACAAGAAATGCTTAGTTCACCTTGAAGTACAAACCCCATAATTCATTGTTTGTGTTTTACCAATGAATGCATGTCAGTATCTTTCCATTTTATTACTAGTTTATTTATGAGGTGTTTGTGAATCTGCAGAGCCTCTGAAGGTGGTAAAAAAATTTATAAATAAGCAGAGGTGCAAAGTTCTTCACTGGAACTGTGAACTTTTTCATTGTAGTAAGGAAGAGATTCAGACTGGAGATCAAAATGCTTGGGGAGAAACCTTAGGGCTCATGAAACCCTCGTGCAACCCCAGCTTGGTTTAAATGGCCTTGGACTGGCAATAGGGAGGGTGGAATGAGGCCCTGGGAAGGCTCCTGTCCTAGAGGAATTGCCATGAAATGCAGAAACCAGTGACAGAAAAGAACTTGCACAGGGAATGATTCAAATACAGCCAGATTTTATATGAAACATGAAAAAAAGAATTAAATCTTTATCCTCCAGTTTTCCTGACAGATTGGTATCACTTCTGATACGAGATGTATTTTTAGAAACTATTAATGGTTAAAGTAAAGCTGTCGCCTGTTCCCTTGTTTAACAGTTTTGCCCTGTGGGAATAAATGTGCAGTAGGATAAGCAATCAAGCAATTAAGTGTAAAACCTGAAGAGCATAAGAGTTCACTGCTAGGAGAGAGGAGCACTGTGATAAACGATGTGGAGAGGTGGGAAAGCAGGGCAGTCAGGTGCCTCGTGCAGCTCCTTTGCAGAGAAATGTGAGGCAGAAATTTGGGGACAAAAGGAACAGAGCAAAGCAAAGGAGAATGAGCAGACCCTGAGGGTTTGCAACACAAAATGGTTGGTTCTGGGGTTTTGGGTAAAACTTGGACAGTCTGGACAGGTGTTTAATGCAGTGGGAAGAGCAAACAGGGTGGCCCAAACTGATAAAGAGATATCAAAACCAACTCAGAGGGGCTGGGATGCTGCAGCTCTCAGACTGCAGCAATTTCTGGTCAGCCTTTGTTGTATGCTTGGGACAGAACATGATGTTCCCAAAATTGCTTGTAGAATTATAAAGGAGCGGTTGTGAATTGAGCACTCTTAAAGTGAGCCAGAGCCAGTACAGCTGTCTGCAGAGGGAAATGATGATGGAGTAGCTGGGAAAAGAGAATGTAATTGAAGGGGAAGAAAGCCATAGGCTGCCTGAGTTGGTGATTTGTAGTTAGAACAGCCACTTTTATTTCCTTAGTACTTAAAAGGACAATTGACTTTTATCAGAAGCCCAATAGAAACAATTGAATGGTACAAACACAAGCTCTGGAGATGTGTCTCTGCCACTCTTGCTTTCATTATTTTATACCACAAGGTGGACAGAGGAACATGCCCTTCTTACTAACCCAGATTTGGTGCAAGCTTAACTGAAAATGTGCTGAGTGTCAAACAGGGGATGGGGAAAGTAAAGGGCAACTAGATTTTGCTATTTTTTGTTTTAATTTGGTTGAATATGAGCTTAAAAAGTGACCAAATTTGATTTTTGAGGGCTTTTTATGTTGTTTTGTTTTGTTGGTTTTTTAAATTTAATTTTAATTCCAGTGTGTGCTTTGTATTTTATTATTTGGAATAGGTTAATATTTTACAGGCTCCTTTATTCTGGTTATTAAAAGTTCTTCTCATTAACCTTTCTGTCACTAAAGTATAGCATGAACACAATGTGCAGATTCTCATCCATGACATTGCTTCAGCTCTCTAAAAAATATACTTCTCCCAAGGTCTATAAAGTGTCCCCAAATGAACACCTGTTAAATACTAAACCCTAAGAAGCTTCAGAATTGAGCCTTTGTGTTATGACCTGTTAAAATATTACTTTGTTTCTGAATTTTTTTAGCTCAATTGTGTATATATATATATATATATATATATATATACATACACACATGTTTCTGTACCAGCAGGTAGCTTTTCAGGTCTGCCACACAACAATGTAAGCAAGTAGCTGAGGGGAAAAAAAGCTGTTGTCCCAATGACCTTATTGCTCCTTTTGGATCATCCAGCATCAGAAACAAGGATGTTATCCAGTGTTGATGTGCCCAGAAGACACCAGGAATACAACATTTACTCATATTTTTGTACTGTAACATGAATTCAATTCCAGTCCTTACCTGGATCACTTCCCAGCAGGTGAAGATCTGCTTAAAAATATGAGCATGCAGAGGGAAAAAAACTAAATAAAATATAATATGAGCAGCTGATTTCCATGTTCATCTAAAACTCTCTCACAGTAGTCCCTGTTTCTGCCAATAAAACACTCAGAGCTCATTTTACTATTTCTGAAAGTCACCTTTACTCAAGCCATCACTGCAAAGGAAAAGGACTCAACCTGTGCTGCCTTCTGCTTCCAGATACTGTGTGAGACACTGGCAATGAGCTTGAGAACCTTAAAAAAATAACAAATAAAAAATCCAACACAATTGTTCAGGTGCTAGAATATAAGAAGGTCAAGTTTTGCTTATTCTGGGGCACTTGGGTTGCTGATACCACCAGTAAGAGTTTGGATCTGTAGAAGTTATTTAAACAATGCTAGACTTTGGTATTTTGTATGTAATAAATTCATTGCAAGTCCATCTTCAAAGTAATATCTGTGGCCAAAAGGTCCATAACACATTTCTTTTAGTACTGAGTAAGGGTCATGATCAAAGCCATATAGCTATTAAATCTTAGAACTGAAAACATTTATTCACATATATAAATATAAAAATGGGTCTACATGATCTCAATTGCCAGATTTTGAAATATAATATACATATCTATTGAGATATTGTAGCATGTTTTACCACCAGAAATATTTGGCTTAAATGCCCAAGTTTTAAGAAGGAAAGAGAATATGTGGATTTGTAAATTCCAGATGTATTTGCTGTACTGGCAAGGAAAATATTTTTTTTCTCTTATAAATACAACAAATATTAATAACATGAATGCAGGGGACAGGGGATGCAATGTCAGTCTTTCCAGGCAGTTTCCAGTGTTCACACCTTGACATGGATATGTCTCCTCTCTGCTCTGAACTGTGAGATTGAATTGAGGGATATTCCCATGAGAGCTGCCCAGGAATAGCTGATATCACCCCTCTAACTGCTGCCTGTGGTTCTTTTGGCAGCATGAAACCAATGCCAGCTGACACACGTGCACGTGGCTTGGCAAATACTGATAAAAAATTCAGTGTTGGGCCTTGGTATTCAAGTCACAATTAAAAACCTCTCTGTGCATATGGAGAGAGACTGTCCTTGAGGAAGAAGAGGTGCATGAATAGAGTTGGTGCATGCTTTAAAAAGGTGAGAAGACCTTGTTTATGTTGTACAGGAAGAGCTAACATTGCTTGCAGTGCCACAGCAGAGTGACCGTGGTTCCTGCTTTGGATCTCCTGGAAAATAAACACAAGGACTGGGAGCCCAGAGCCCAGCAGGGAAACCTCGAACTGTGCAGCTGCTGGGGCACCAAGGTCCTCATTCCCTGAGTGAGCCCTGAGTGGTCCTCTGGGCTGAGTTAAGCCCAGGGGATGCAGGGAGAGTGCAGCTGACAGTTTGCTGTGTGGGTGGCTGTTTCTCAGGGTATGAAATGCATGAAATGATCACATACTCAGTCCAAAGCCTCTGGGAAATGCATTATTTACCACCCTGCCTCCTGATGGTGTTTAGTCTGGAGCTAAGTGCAGCTTTGGCTGCAATGATCCATGTGCAGAATCCGTGGGGCTGCCAGGAATGGATTTGGGAGCCTCACTGAGGATGCTGTTACTACACTGCTTTTCTATTGCTTTCAAAATCACTTTGTATCTGACAATGTGAACTGACAGCAAAATGAAAACATGTCCCACCCACTTAGGGCTTTCTGTACATGTTCTTCCTTTCTTTTCCCTTTAGCTGCCCCACATGAGGGGCTGGGTGTAGATCTTAACCCTTGCTGGAGTCCAAATTTTGGCTGCATTTAAATGGTGCAGACACAGCCCTGTGGGGGTTGGGAGTAAAGAAGGGGAATTTATTGCTGGGAAGGGATTAGTGCTGCTATGAAGAAATCTATTTACAGAGTCCACCCACCCTCAAGAGGCTCTGTTCATAAACTTGGGTTTGGGAATTGCTTTGTGCTTCCCTGGGAGGGCTTGAAATGGGCACCAGAGAGAGGGAAACCAGGCAATGTGGTATTAGATTGTTCAATAATTACTCAATTATTGATTGATCCATGTAGGATTGCACCTAGTTTTAGAAGCTTACACAAGGCACAGGAAAAGTACACCTTTCTGTTTGACATTTAATTTTTCAAGTTTTATTACAGAAAGACAGCTAAGCCCCATTAATTCACTGAGAAATCCTCATTGAAATGATCAGTTTATGAAAATTATCTTTCTGCCATTTAATGGAATTAATTGCTAATAAAAAAATGTATCAAGGCACAAGGCAACATATGAATAATGTATTTTCACTGTATTTTGCTAAGCTAAGAAAAATTCAAGTGATATGACCTTACTTACTCCTTTGGTGTGTATATATTATATATTTAGCCCCACAATCATTACTTACGTTTTAGAATGTTTTATTAAAAAATAACCAATTAGTTAAGCAGATAATCTACCTTTTTGACAGAGCACTAGGTTGTTAAGTGAAAAACAGGATTACTTGTGAGAAAAATCAGAATCCTGGAGCAGCTGTAGCTAGAAATGGGATTAAACAAAATGCCTTAATGCTGAAACATGAAATCAGAAGCTGAGGATAAATGCAGACAGTTGATGAGAAGGTTTGTATACAAATTGGCTTAGATCATGTCTTGCCTTTGAAGATGAGTCAATTTGAACATGAAAGCTGATGGACACTGGAAAGATCTGCTCTCTGCAGATGAAATCTGTGCTGGGAGGCTCTGAGCAGGTGCTGCTGTCACTGACTTTGGGGATCTGATGTGGCCAAAGATGGCTGGATTTCCCTGTGGCTCAGCTGCCACGTTTCAGCTCTAGGGAATGTCTCTTTCTGTAGAATTCAGAAAAACAAAGCAGATTTAATGAATTCAGATAGGGATCTCATGATGTTCATTGGGATGGGTAGAGTGCAACAAGAAGAGGGGTTTGGGCTCTTGTTTGGACAAGGGGGGTGGGTGTAAGGCAGGAGAAGGGAGCTGGGGCCTGTGCTGGGATGGAGGGATAACAAACTTGAAGCTGAGCAAGCCGAAACTGTGTTCTCAGAAGAGAGGTCTCTCATTTGGTTTTGGTTTCCCACTGCCTGATACCACAGCTTGGAAATGTGTTTTTCTTGATGCCCCACACCCCTCATTCTGCCTTATTCCTACCTTTGGCTGTTCTGTGAAATTCCTGGTGAGAGTTTAGTTTTCTCAGACTTCTTGGTAGGGTGTTGCAGCTTTTTGTTACTTAGCAAGAGTTTCCTGGGTGCAGTGCAATAACATGCCCAGCATTCAGTAGGAAACCTTCCATTTCCTCAGATAAATGAAATATGTGAAAAAAATACACTTATTTGATATTGAATGAAGCTTCTTCAAGCTGAATCTGAAAATCACAACTAACTGAAAATGGCAGAAAAAAGGCAATCGTGCTCTCTAGAGATAAGGGGAAGTGATAGGTGGATCAGCAAAAAGAAAAAAAAAGTCTTTTAAAATGAGTTTGTTGGAAGGAAAAAGATCAGCTGCTGTAATGTTCTCTATGTTGCAAACCTGCTCCTGCAGCTCAGGCTGCTCCCATTGCAGCAAAGCAATCTTGGAAGGCTGGGATAGCTTGTCCAGCAGAGCTGCATACAGCAGGATCTCTGTAATTCAGCTTCCACCAGCATTTCTGGGCTTAACCCCTCTTCAGGGCCCTGTAACTCACCTTTCAAATCTTCATTCAGTGCTTGCAGTGTGCTGTGCTTTAAATATTTTTCCAAACATCAAGATGTGAAACTGTTCTCTCCTACTGGTGGAGCCTTGTTCAGATCAGAGCTCTGCAGAGATTATATTTATATTTATATTTATATTTATATTTATATTTATATTTATATTTATATTTATATTTATATTTATATTTATATTTATATTTATATTTATATTTATATTTATTCCAGAGCCTATGGCCATGTGGACTCTTTGCAGACTGTCCTGTGTGGGAAAATGGGCAGCTGAACACCAGTATAGCCAGCTCATATTTTTGAGTTGACTAAGAGACTTATTAGTGCAGGATGAAGTAGTTGTGCAATGCTCAGAGGAGGGCAAGAAAATCACAGAAGGTCTCTGAACATGGTGGTTGAAAACATCAGAGGTGGGTAGAAATTTTAAAAAATATAATCTTAGTTATACAAGAGACAAAGTTTGAGTGTTGGTTATTTGTGGTGGTTTGGAAAAGGGCGATTTGAGCAGCTGCATTAAAGGTCTGATGTAAATGAATGTATCAATGACTAACATAAACATGATTCTTAGAGGCAGAAGCAAAGCAGTGAAAAGGCACTGAAACTTGAATCCCCTGACTAAAAGTGAATCTTTTTCTGTCCCATATGGGACAGACACGTGAGGTGTGTTGTTCATATGTTTTGCAGCTCATAAAAACAACACTTAAGCTTTATTTCTCACCAGTGTTTTCTGCATGCAGTAAATACTCTTTGTGGCTATGCCATGGATTATAAATGCCTAAGACAGTAATTTTAACTTCCAGCTGTGTGTGTGCCTTGTTTTAACACTCCCTGGTGTGAACCCCTCACCCTTGGTCACAGTGACCTGTGAGGTGCAGGTTCCTCTCCTGGGTTATGCTACAGGTTCTCTGTTAATTGAAGTGGAATAATGCTGTATCTGCCAAGCAGAGCTGTAAATATGGGCAGGGAAGGATGTCTTACTTACAAGGTTTCATAGATATTTTGCAAAATTCTCTTTTGCCTGGAAATTGCTTTAAAGTGATGAGTGGTACTAAACCTTTCATCTGTAAAATGATCAAACATAATGTAATACTCCTTATTCAGGATGTTTTGGTGCGTGCTAATAAACCCTTGTAGAGTGTTTGTGTGGCTCCTGTGGCACGGGAAGGGGAAAGACCTTTCAGAAGGGAATCTCACTCCAAACACTTGATGTGAAAAAGCAAAAACTGGCCTAGAAGGTGTACCTGAGATGGGAAAGATGTCTGTGTCACAGAAAGGGTGTGAGCCCTGAGTTCTGCTCTTGCAAACAGGCTTTATTAGTGCATGGTGTTTATAGGTCCTAATTTCCTCCTAAAATATCAAAGGCAGCCAGCTTGGCATAGCCAGTTTGGTCACCATTTAATGTTCTGACAGATCCCCTTCTCCTGAAAGGCTCTGTGGTGCTTCCACTTCCCTCAGGAATGACTGATGTGACAGCAGAGGGGTCACACACAGCCCTGCCCACAGGCAGCCCTGTCTGCTGGCCAGGTGCTTGTATTGATAGTAAAAGATTCTAAAATCATAGAAAATTCGGGGAGTTAGAAAGAAAGTTAGGCTTGGCAAGCCCTGGGAAAAGTGTTAAAAGTAGGCCCTGGGAAATGTTGGGCCTTGTGCTTGCTAAGATCAGGTGAAACTGCACCTGTGTAGTCAGTACATGATAAATGATAAAATTGTAGATGTGATTAGATATAATTATTGTTTAAAGAATCATGAGAATCTATGTTAGGGGTTTGGGGAATCATGAGAAATCCATGCTTGGGTAAAATCAATGCATAGTTTAATAATTAATATGTAAGTTATATAACGATAGAGTATAAAACATGTTCAGCTCAAAACCAAGTGGGGTCAGATTTGGGTCTGTGTACCCCTGACACCCAGAGCTCTTAATAAAACACCTGCATATAATCATTCTGTGATTCTGTGTTCCTGAAGGCTAACAGTATCAGTGTGTAGAAAAATCCAGAAGTGGTGATGAAATCCAAGAAGCCAAGTTCTGATTAGGGTTAAGGCTTAACCACTTATTTATAGGAAGGAATTAATTGTGGAGATTGTTTTACTGGGATTGAAAAGAATCACTAACTTCCAGCTCACTCAAAGCTGTTCTAGTAAAGGAAGAGGAGGGGTTAGCTGCTCTTTTATGGCCTTCAGGAAGGGTTTAATGCTTTGCACTTCCTCCAAGCAATTTCTCTGTCTGGCTTGTGCAGCAGTATTACCAGATCTAGGCAGCCCTGAGAGGCAGATCTGAGGCTGCTCAAGGTGTGATTTCTCAGGCCAGTGACAAGTGGGCACTGCCAAGTAAACAGAGTGACAAAATCATTTTTTGCCAGCATGCTGCTTGGCATATCTGGCTGCCCAGTGTCTATCCCTTGGCTTTTCAGGTGAATTCCTTGACGCCAGCTCTTTCACACAGTTGAGTTTTGTGGTGGATCCCTGCTAGCCTGGCCTTCTGCTTGTGCTGGCAGTTGCTGTTGAGTTCTAGGAGGCAGCAGGACTGGCCATGGCCATCTGAGCCTCGTCCTGGCTGCACTGGTCACAAAGGCTGTGGGTTTTGCTGCTCTGGATCCTCACCTGGCTGCAATTGCAGAGCTCACATCATTCCCAGGCTCAGAAATTCATGGAGAGAGGGCCCTGCTTGTGTCTGCCCCATGTCTGCAATGGCAAAACACTGCAGGAGCAGGAGCTCATCCAACCCCAGGAGCTGGAGCAGCCAGCAGTGACTTGGGAAGTTCCAGTGTCCATGTGGATGGCTCTTCCCCAGCTGGAGGATACAGAGAAGAGCTTGTCCTCCCCAGCTGTGTTACACACTCACATCATCCTTGTTACCCATCCTGTTCCAGCAGGAATTCCTCAGCTGGGAAGGCTGTGCTCCAAGGCATGGCAAATCCCAGCTGCATGGAATGTGCACAGAGAACCTGCCCCCGGTGCCCTCGGAGCAGCCCAGGCTGCCTGCCAGGGACAGGACCTGCTGGCCAGCCTGGAGGTGTCACCTGTGCTGTCACTGTGCCAGGACAGCAGCTCTGGGGGGAAACCCTCACTGCTGCCAGCTGTTCCTCTGAAGAGGAGGCCTGGCAGGGTGGGACCTGCTCAGGGTGCTGGTCACCGGGCCCTGGACACTCTGTGGGGACAGGGAGGAGCAGGGGGGGCAGGATGGGACCTGTGGGGCAGCAGAGGTGTGGGCTGAGCAGGCTGAGGTGGCTCAGCTGCTGCTGAGCAATGGGGGAGCTGTGTCCCTCCAGGCTGGCTCTGCTCTCAGGGAATTTGCTACTTGTGTAGAGCAGAACCTTTTGGATCAAAGGGAGAAATAATGTTTTTCCCCCCTCTCCTGTTTTTGACCTACAAATCCACCTGCTGTTATTTTTCTTCTTCCCTTCTTGTGCTGCTTGCTGTCCAGGGCTGTTTGGGACAGATTGTGCACAATCACTTAATTTGCAACCTTAGCACAGTGAAATGTCATAAACAGATCTTAAGCTGACCTGGGTGTTTGCTGCTACTCTTTGCAGCTGACCAGCTGGAGTTTATCCTGGTGATCTGGATCTGGACCCCAAAGGCAGAGCCTGCCTCTCCCACTGTGCCCTCTCCACAGAGCTTGGCAGAGCTGTGGATCAGCAGGGTTGCAGTAATCTGTTCAGAGGAGGGGCAGGAGAGAGGATGGAGGCTGATTAAATTGCAAGGAGTCTTTGACTTACAGGTAGTTATTAATCTGTAATTGTGTGACAGGATTTCTGTGAATACTTCCAATTTTTAGGTGATCACTGAAAGGTTCCTGGTGAATTTTTGTTACTGGTTTATTTCTGTGGCTACTTGGGAAGTTTTGCTGCATGGTTATAACACAGAAATAATTAACAAATTCTAATTAGGGGATAAGGTGTGTGCTTGTAAACAAACATCTCATTCAAGGCAAAACAGAACCAAGAGTCACTGAAGATAAAACTTGGTTTCTTCAGAAAATCCTATTTAGTAGCTGTAGTTTGGTTTGGAAAGAGAATATTCTAGAGAAGTAGGGTTGGACATCTTCATCATCAAAACCAGTCTGCAGTGTGACAGAGCAGCAGGATTTGGTACTGACTCCTCCTGGCAAACAGGAAAACGTGCCCCAGGGAGGATGGGCTGCAGCGAGGTTTGATTAACGGAGACACCTGGAGCTCACATCCTCTCCCCAGAGCCCTTCCCTTGTCCTTTGTGCCCTTCACAACTGCTGCCTGAAAGAATCACTGCCTTTTCCTTCAGAGATACAAGCCTTGCAGCCTCCCTGCCTTCCACAAATGTCTGAGAATTTTGTGAAGTCAGCGTTAAAGCATGAGATGGATGGAATGACCTTTGCACTGTTCTAAATCTCACTGCCCGTGGTCGGTGTGAGGTGACACACGGGAGCGGAGTGGGCATCCAGCGGGCAGCAGTGGCAGTGCCGGGGCATCCAGTGGGGATCCAGTGGGCATTTATCAGGCATCCACGAGGGATCCATTGGGGATTCTTTGGGCATCCATCAGGAATTCATCAAGGATCCATCGGGAATTCATCAAAGATCCATTGGGAGTTCATCAAGGATCCATCCAGCATCCATCAAGGATCCACTGGGAATTTATCAAGGATCCACTGGGCATCCATTGGGGATTCATCAGGAATTCATGAAGGATCCATCAGGAACTCATGAAGGATCCATTGGGAATTTATCAAGGATCTATTGGGAATTCATGAAGGATCCATTGGGAATTTATCAAGGATCTATTGGGAATTCATGAAGGATCCATCAGGAATTTATCAAGGATCTATTGGGAATTCTTGAAGGATCCATCGGGAATTTATCAAGGATCTATTGGGAATTCATGAAGGATCCATCGGGAAGCGCCGGGCACAGCCGAGCCCAGCTCTGCCCTCGGGCACCACCTGGCGGCCACCAGCGGTCATTGCAGCCACTGCAGCCCGCGCTGCTGCGGGGGGACCGCGGCTCCTGTCGGGGTGAAGGGAGAAAAGGCAGTGTCCTGGGAACAGGGACAGTGTCCCGGGAACAAGGACAGTGTCCCGGGAACAAGGACAGTGCCCCGGGAACAGGGACAGTGTCCCGGGAGCAGGGACAGTGTCCTGGAAGCAGGGATGCGGGATAAAGAGCAGTGTCCCGGGTCCAGGGGCAGGGACACGGGACAGATGGCAGCGTCCTGGGGCCGAGATCAGGATCCCAGGATAAAGGGCAGGATCCCTGCATTCCGGGAGCAGGGATAGAGGGCAGTGTCCCGGTGCTGGCAGCTGGGACAAGGCTCAGGTTCCCTGCCAGGACACCAGCCTGCATTTCACACATCAGTGCTGTGGGACACAGCGAGGGCAGCTCAGGCCTTTGGCATTTTTCGGTTCCTCAGGTTTGCTCTTCCAGGGGGAAGAG